AAAAATATGTTGAAATGATGTTAAAATATACTCGGTGACTTCACTGACTTCAACTGAACTACTTCAAATATAACTAACTCTGGATCCAATTTATAGTTTTTCATGAAGAAATTATAGAAATATATGTAAAATGTAATATAAAATGCAATATATTAAGTATACACAACTTAAGAGTGCTTTGTCATACCAGCACTGAAAAGTATAGTTTAGGCATTATGATTAAACTGCTAATATCACTAAAATAAATTAAGAAAACAAATAATCAGTTCCATGGAAATTTAGGCACGTCTTAACTATTTTAAATCAATTCTGCAGAGGATAGGTTTGAGGAAAAAATAATTCTGGCAATCACTAGTGAATCTAAATTATATTTTTAGACTTTTAGATTATAATTTTGGATTCAAATAATATCATTTTTAATATGGATACATTGTACCACACAAAGACTAGATTCTGGATACCCAATTCATTATCATTGCCACTGATTAATCCTCATTTCAGTTTAATGGATGCATTATTAGAACAACAAATCTGTTTTGCTTCATAGTCAGAAATGTTTTGGTGAAATGCATATTCAGGATAGAGGGGAGAAATCCATCTAAATGAGCCAGAATTTAAACAGATAGTCAAATATGCATGAAATTATTTCATTGCATCTGCATGTAATAAAATAAATTGTAATATTATTTTAAAGATAAACGTCTAGTGTTTGTCAGATACTCCTATCACTCCTGGGTCAGAAAACTGGAAGGTAGGGGTATTTATCTTCTTAGGGAACAATTGGTTAGGATAGTGATTTTATGCTTCTCCACAAGTGAAAAAGACTTAATTAAAAAGAAAAAGAAAGCAGAGAATTTCATGGGTTATTGCTGGAAAGATAAATTCTCCAAAGTTGTGAATCTGAGTATGAGTAAAGTTAATTAAAAGTGTTATAATATCCTAAATATAAATCTTACAGTAGTAATTCACAAAGTATTTAACTAGTAATCTGAACCAATAATGCTTATCTCAAAATTGCCACAAATCAAATTACCCATGAGATATTGTGACTCTTTTATACACTATTGTACATATGCAACCAATTTCAACTGCTGGGTATAGGTAATTATTTTAAAACTGTCTTTAAGAGTAAAACTTTCCACTAAAACATTTTAAAATTGAGGGTGGAAAAATTAAAACAATAAAAATCAAGAGGACCTCAGAATTTCCCTGAACACCTGCAACAAAAAGATTTGATGAACTTGCAGTAGAATAGATTTAATTCAGCTACAGTACTGTGGTTGTAACACACTTAGTAGTAAACACATTCTATTATTTCACTTCTGACAAATTTGCTTAAAACTTTGTGGAGAATCAGGGAATTTAGCAGGCCTGCATATAGAATTATTAAAAAAAATAAATTCATGAATGCACATAGCTTTTTTACATAGTGTCCTCCCAAGACCACAGTTAAAGCTTAGACAGGATCATAAATTCAGCACTTGCTACAACCACCATGATAAAGGTTGTCATGAATTTGTATGATTTTTACAAGGGATACCCATGGATTACAACTATATCCACCTATAAAAATAACACGCCCCATATTTTGCAACACTTTTTGAAAACTTGGATCTGAGAAATGCATTTTTAGGCAGGATACCACTAAAACCAACCCCAAGTCTCAGTTCACATCCATGTACTGCATCTTTAAAAATAAAGTCAGAAGCTCATATGTATCTAAGCTATACTTTGTCAGGGATCTTCTAGTGGATTTTCCAATACTGCCAACAAATCCCAAATGTGTCTGAGTTTCAGTGCTACATGCCAATGCCGAGACTCAGATTCTTCCAATTTTAAAGGGGATAACCACAAACTACAGTGGTTTTTGATGCATTCCAAGGAACACCCGATGTGTGACTGACGTGGTTTGCAAGGAATCAAAACTCAGGTTTGTATTTTTACACCAGGTTACACTATGAAGTAGCATTTTTTTTGAACCATGGTGGCTCGTTATAGATGCATCTTTGGCTATGGTGGGCTTTGAAATTCCGATGGGAAAAAACTGCAAAGATTTGTTGTGTGGATATATGCTGAATTATACGTTTTTATGTGATGGACACTAAACCATAGAATCCATTATATTTATACCCATGGGTAGAAATATGATGTGTGTTTGGGTAGTGGATTTGAGGGATGTCTTGCCAAAAGAAAATTAGGATTCATACTCTCATTCTATGATATTAATATCATAAAAATACCAGATTTGAACTTTTACAGTGCAGTCAAAGGGACAGATGATATAATCCATTTCTTTGGGAGAGATACTGTTAAAACACAAAATTAAAATAATTTTAACTTCCTAGATCTGACTACCTAGAATAAAAACACCAGAAGTATTAGCCATTTAATTACCGCTAAGGATGGAAGGAGCTGCTACGCTACTTCCATCTCAGAAGGATTACAATTATCCCAAATAGAAAAGTTAAGATGGTCTCACACTCAAGAGCTCTTCCCTCTTTTAAGCTGTTAAGAGGAGTAGGAAAAGACAGTTGGACTAGGCATATCATCATATGCCATGTATTCCTAGGTACTCGCTGAAGACTCAAAGAAATACTCTTCCGTTGCTTGAATTTCGACAAGGGAGCCACACACCGACAACATGAACCAACGGCAAGATTTACCTCAGCGGGAGGAGGGGGGGGGAACCAACCAAAGGCAGGGTGGCCTAAAATGATCATTTAACAGGCCGTGATGTCAATAGCGCTATGAAAGCTATCACCAATGACTTAATAAAATAAAAACCAAACACCTTCATGGCGTTAAAAACGGAGAGAACGGGACAAAACCAAAGGTCCAAAGAGCACATCCTCCCTCCCCCCGAGCCTCCACTTATAAGGCAGGCGTCCTGCTTCTGGCTCCCATTCACTCCCGGAGCTCTGGGTGTGGCAAAGCCTCGGCCGGTCACCTTGGGGCGGGGTCTCGGCAGCTTTCTGCTAAAGCGTCGGCTTAAGGGGCGCGCAGGTCGTGTATTCGGGGGAAGGGTGGGGATTTTGCGGGGGTTGTTAGTTTAAAACGGGGAACACCCGTCCTAGTTATTGTTAGGTGGAAAGGCTTTGTCCTAACGTGCGGTAAGATGGTAAGTTCAAGGAGGCCAAGTCGTATTTCATTCGCAGGGTTTGGCTTTTCCGTGGCACAGCGCTTGTTGGGTTTTTAAAATGGTTTAAAGATCAAGCTGAGTTGGAGCAAGGGCGTCTGACTTTTTCCCTCCCGAAAAAAAGCAACCAGTGAGAGGAAAGAAGGGAAGCCTGGCATACGGGCTGCCTAAAGCGAAAGGGTTTTTTTTTTTGTAAAACCAAGTTTAAGAGGCCACTTGTCCACGGACATTTTGACGCGGGTTGCTCAAAGGGACGGGACTGAAGGTGTGGGTCAAGCCCGGGCGTCGTGAAGAAAGGGGCGAGAAAAAGGCGGGAAGTGATTACCCTCTCCGTCCTTCGAAGTGGAGGCGTGGAAAGAAAGGGTGCGTGGAGATGGCAGGGTACGTCGAGCGGCCTCACACATCCTGTGGGTGTAGGAAAGGCCAAACGAAGCCTTGCTGAACGAGGCTCCAGAGGCGGAGGCGCGGTCACCATTTTGCCTCCGCGCGGGAGTCAACGATCGAGTTATGTTCGCCTCGAGTCGCCTTTTGCGGCCGATCGCGCAAGACCGCGATTGTAAAAGAACCTCTACCCCACACAACCTGGGGGGTTTTATGGATGGAGAGCGCATTCTTAATTCTCCTTAGTAGAATTTACGGGTGTGAAATTCTTAATGGGTTAAGTGCAGTTTCGGAGACATGACTAGGCCCCTTTGGTTTCAGTGGGATTTCCTCCAAGATAAGTGTAGATCGGATGGTAGCCTGTATTAAGGTATGAGAGTTCAATTCTGCCTGCACTTGTCTCAAAGTAAGTCCTCAGAATTTGGAGGAATAGGTTGATGTCCGACAGTTGAATCTGCCCACAGTCTTGCAATGTTTGGAGTGGAGAACTAACGGTGACTTTTCCTTTTTACTATGTTAACTGCAGGCTGGCAAAGGCTCTATCCCAAAAAGGATTAACAGCCAGTCCTAGCATTATTAAAAGAGTTGAGCTCCTCAATTGTGTATAGTGTTTTTTTTCTTGAGCTGGGTATACCAGCATATATCAAGACAAACAAGTTTAATGAGACAAGTGTTAAAAAAAGAGGTTTTGTATTTACTTAACATGATCTTAAGTTTGTATCAGAAAACAATCCAAAATATATTTGATTGACTTGTTATTTTGGACTACAATTCATGTAAGCCTCATTCAGCATGGTCAAAGTATTGTACAGTAGTTCAGCAAAGTGGGAGGGCACTTCTTAAAGAGTTGTGCCTATGGATCAAATGTGCATGGTTCATAAACATAGTGACTATAGATCTAGATTCATGTTTCAAAACAGGTGAAGCACAAATCAGCTGAGGGGGACTGTCCAAGATTACTTGTATGACTCAATTGTAGGAGTTACCACTCTTTAATTGCTCTTGGGACCTCCTTGATTGAAGGCTGCTTGGTAATATTATCAATCTAGAGAAGCTTCCCTGTGTAGTACACTTGGAGCAGCCTTCTGATCAGCTGATTGATAGGTTGTTCCATAAATGTTTGTTAGGTTCCTATTTGCAAATAGTAGTTGGAAAGCACTAGTATAAATAACTGAAAATACCCCTTCTATAGACAGCTGGTACTTTCAGAGGAATGTAAAAACAAGGATCCTTTGCTTATGGACCAGTAAAATATTTGCTTGGTTGCCTTTTGTATTCTATCATCATTTGTGCCACATTTTATATACAAAAGAGAGGAATATTTTCTAGACATAAGTGTGATAGTGTTTAAGGAGGAGGAAGAATTTTTGTAAAACATATAAAGTTTGTTTTGCAGTCTACATCAAATCAGGACTCTCAAAACACAAGCCTTCCACGGGAAGAAAGCTCTCAGTTGCCTGCTACCAGCCAAGGATATGTTCTGCCTGAAGGGAAAATCATGCCAAATACTATTTTTGTGGGTGGAATAGATATAAGGGTATGTATTTATTCATAATAGGATTTTAGCATTAGGCTGTGTCTTGTGTTTTCACAAAGACTTTGAGCAGATAAATTCTGCATAATGAAGATTGCAATACCTCTTTGAAAGTAAACCCATTAGTGATGTCTTTTCTCCCACACATTCAGTGGAAGTTTCATATGTTTTCATTTTTATTGTTGCTTAATAAATAGAAAATAACTGATTAGTACAGTGTTTTATATTTTGTTAGTAGTTCACTCCATTTCTTCCCCCCCAATGATTTAAGGGTAGAGGAAAAATTGTAGTAGACAGCTATGTTTGGCATACCTTGTTCATGAGATTTCTAGGGGAACTGGAAAGTTAGAATAATTGCTTTAAGAATCACTTGTTCATAGGTATACAAAATTCTGAGCAGTTTATTAAAACAACATTTACTCTCTCCTCTTTGAAAATGTTCCTATGCTCAGGATGTGCCATGAATACTGCTGTGTAAGAAATGATTTGATACTTATTTGGAATATTTTTTTTTCTTAAGGTTAACAGTGTTTTGCTACAAGGCTTTCTGTATTATCACCTTCAAAGTCTGCACCTATCCCTTCATACTTTCATTGCACCAAGCTTAATTCTTTCCCTCTTGATTTACTCCCAATGATATTCTATTAGATTCTCCTCATTTCAAAATATTCTCAAATTCAATCCTATTTATGTGTTGTAACATAAGGATGTTGGATTGGTTCAGTTTCTATTTCTTGATTAAGTAATAACTTTACATTTGTGATGAAGGGGATTCAGAGTGCATAGAATTCATTGTTTTGCTCTGAAAGTTTTCTAAACAATTTTGAAGTAGTACTTGTGGGAATAATGACACTATAATGTTCAGCATACCTTTATGTAATTTATCCCTAGATGGATGAGACAGAAATTCAGAACTTTTTTTCACGATATGGCACAGTTAAAGAAGTGAAAATAATCACTGATAGAACTGGTGTATCTAAAGGGTAAGTTGGTTCGTTTGATGGCATTGATAAATAATTGTGAAGATGTTCCATACTTATAACAAATACTACTAGTATTCAAGGATTAACTGTTTATGAAGGTTATTACTGTGGAATAGAACTAAGTTTGTAAACTGAACACAAGTTTCAGGCATAAACATCTATTCTTCAATATTGTTCTCAATTTTAATTATCCATTCCTTTGTTACTTTTATGTTTTATTGTGATATTGCAACCTTATTGTGCATTATTTTAATCTTTATTGTAATTGCCTAGAGCTCTAGAATCAAAAGGTGGGATATAAATCTTTTAAATAAAATAAAAATAGATGGTATCACCAGAAGCAGAGCCACAGGCAAACATAAGGTCTTACCTTCAATCTCCTTTTTAATATTAAAAATTGTCATTGGTCTTCTAGTTTGGGGCAAGATCTTATGCAGTTCTCAATCTTCAGGGATATAAACATTCACATTGACTTGAACACTTTATCTCTGTGGTACTTGGTTTTCTACTTTTCTGGGTGCATCCATTTTAACACATAGAGGTGAATTACATGGTGGGATATTGATACACTTTTGATTTATCTTTGTAGATACGGATTTGTATCATTCTTGGACAACGTAGATGTACAGAAAATAGTAGAAGTAAGTTGTTAATTTGGGGGCCTATGTAGTAAACCTCATTTAGAAACATAATACTGATTTCTTTTTTGGAATGGGCAGTATAAGGAAAAAACTGCTTAGATAAGGGATTTGATTATACTGTTGATATTTAGAATTCGTTTGCAATTTGGAATTTAGATGGCCTTTTTGTAGAGCTTTTAACTGCCAAAAAGTGCTGAATTCTTTCATGTCCAAACAAATAGTCATCAGATCAAATGCCTATATTTTTGTATTACTTGGTTTGTTAAATTTCTGTAGGCAGATCACCTGCTTTATTTCTCTAAAAAATGACTAGATTATAAAATAAAGATAAGAGGAGCTTATTCAAACAAGAATCCATTATTGCTCTATGTAGGTTTCAGCTGGAGAATATTACTTATTAGAACCTTATGTGAATCCTTATCGCCTATATCTTGATCCAGATTCACTTCTGATCAAGAGATGTCATCTTGTCTGAATTAAACCACAGCTTGTGTACAACCAATACAACTGCATCCAAATAAAATTTCTGTTGCCTTATTAGTATGGAGATGCAGCTGTTTGTATTTGGAGGCTATGAATATGAGCTTACTGCATCTGTTGGTACAATCTTAAAGAAGCCACACCTATCTTGGGAGTGAGCCCAAGAAAAGACTTCTTAAAAGAGGTGTTGACAGATGCAGGGAGGTTTCTTTTTCAGCCTCTTAGTACCCTCCAGTAGTAAAAATGCATCTTTTTTTCTTTGAAAAGGACACAAGAAACTGCAGTTTTATTCCTAGCACTGTGCACTGATGAAGATGTTGCAACTTGTGCAGTGGCATTTTTACTGTTACAGCTTTGCTAAAAAATAATAAAATAGCATTTACAAATGCAAGTTAAATTAAGAATAATAATTTTTTTAAAAAAATGCTACCCTCCCCTACCCACTTCTGGAGCTTGACTTTCCAGTTAATAGTACTTGGACCTAAGAAATGATCGCACTCATCCTTTTGATCAACTTTTCGGGCTGAACAAAATGAAACAGATTTAGCAAAACTGGACAAGCTATTTCCTTACCTCGTTGGATTCTGGCCTTACTTGTGCAATCCAAGTTGGGAAGTTTGAATTATTTTTATTAGAAAAAATTGCAAGTGAAGGATAATTGGATTTTGAGATATCTCCCAGACTATCCTTGGGTCTAGTCTACTTAAAATTCTTTCACTGGATGAATAATTGAGACAAAGAACAGAAACTTTGTGGTCCTCGCTTCCATGTTATAGACTCCAAAATGGGCACTAACAAATTTAGATTAGATCAGTCTAGTCTTTCTCTACTTGTACTTCAGTCCCCTATCCAAATACTTTATTGCCCTGAGTTCCTCATAAAACTAAATGGCCGATGTCTGCACCCAAATTAGAGGGCACTGAGGAGGAATCTCATCAGTTATCCAAGTCTTCTTTCTGTTCCATAGTTAACTGTGACATCAATGGGATTTGTTTCTGTAGTGTCTTGAAAATTCCACAGGGCATTTAGGAATCCCTTCATCTAAAGACTGGGCAACTTAATAGATTTTATACTTCTGCAGAAGCTGAGTTCTAGAAATTCTTATTTCTATTGGGTCCATGATGCTCTTAGGATATGTAATATGTTCATTCAGCCTAACAAAAACCAGATGGACAGTGTATATTACTATATATAAATCACATACAGAGATAGTCATAAAATGCAAGGTAGCTCCTAATGAGAGGTTTAGAATAATTATTCAAATTCCTATGTATAGATTGAGAACATTTGAGCAGGAAGACAGCTGGGCAATACAATAGCACTCTTTGCATACAATCTTTGATGCTTTGACTTGTCACCACCTGTGCATGTAGTCAGACATGTTATCTCAATCCAAGGATGGACTTGTCATAGATCATAATGATCCCATTTCCTTTCTGATCAGATAACCTGCTGTTGTACTAAAAATGGTGCAGAATTCTCACTAACTTGGTTTTTTATTACATATATCAAGATAGTTGTTTCTTTATCTTGGATTGCTAGCTCTTATGGTCACTGATGTGTTATTAAGTAACTGCTTTTTTAATTAAGAGATTTCCTGTATGACTGATTATCTGCCATCAAGTCATTGTTGACTCATTTGTCAGATGGAATAGTAAGCTAGATAGAAAACAGCCAAAAGATTTCTTTCCTCTCTACACTAACTTGTTAGTACTATTGTATTTTTTTTTGCCCTGCCTGTAACAGGTGAAGCGCTGCAGCTCTTCTTACTTTCTCTTTTTTAAATTTTTTAAATTATTTTTTAATTACAAAAAAAGAAAAAAATACATAAAAGTGCTTTAACATAAAAGTGAAAAAATACAACAAAACCCATTAATATATCATAATAGTACACAGTTCCAATTCTATATATGCTTGTCTAATACAAATATTATTCAAGTACATATATATTTTTAAGAGAGTTATATAACTATCCTGTTTTTTTTTAACCCGGTGTATTTTGTATAAATGAGTCCCAGAATTCATTATACTTATCCATACAAAGTCTACATCTGTAGGCAATCCACTCATAAGTAGCAAGTGTAATCAGGTCTTCAATCCATTGACTAAATGGGGCCATACATTTATCTTTCCAATGTTGCAATATCAGTCTTTTGGCCATAGTAAGGGCACAGAGAATCCATTTATGTCCAGTTGTCAAGTTCCATGTACTAGGTATATAGTTCAAAAGAATATTATCCTCTGAAAAGTTTAGCTTTTGTTGCACAATCATATTTATATAGTCCAGTACTTTCTCCCAAAACGTAATAAGTAGAAGGCATTGTAAGAATATTTGTTTTAAAGAAGCATTGTCCTGCTCTTTTCACCTTCTCATTGAAATACCTTTTAACTCGACTGAAGCTGTCCCAGAAGTCTAATAAAGCTACCAAGATCTCTCATTACTTAACCCAAAAGAGAGGAAGCTAGCCCAGCAAATATGAGAACATAGGCTACTAGGCTGTCACTTAGCCTATTATTAAAAATGGACTGGTGTGCTGACTGCAGAGGAAGTATAGGATGATTCCTCCTCTGACAGTCTTCACATTTGCTAGTATGAAATTCCAGTCACCTGTTACAGACTGTAACTAAGTGTATTAACTGAAGGGAACTTTTGGACAAGTTCAGAAGCAATTGGATATACTTGTGTTGCAGTGTTCCATATTTGATTGAAACTATTGATAATATTTAGTCTGTTGAGAAAAGTACATGAATCAGATCCTTACAAATCACTCTTTTCTAGTCACAAGTAAATTTTCATGGGAAGAAGCTCAAATTAGGACCTGCAATAAGGAAACACCCAAACTTATGTAAGTATTATTACATTTGACAGCCTGTATAAAGAAAAACTTCTTGATATAGCAGACAATTTTATTGCTAGATAAATATAAGCCTAGCAAAAATACTTGCATCCATACACACCAAACTTAGATATTTACCACTACTATTCTACCATCAGTTACCTACTTTCCTTTGCAAGATGCATATATGAAAGCCACTGTCATTGTGCAGTAAGTCTTGTCAGTGGTGTAATTCAGGTGCATGTTGATTACTACTAACTTCCACTACATTTATGTGGAAGTCAAAAATATATTTGAGTTTTGGGACATTTTTAAGGTAAAAGAAATTTTGAGGATATAACCTAATTTTTCTTATCTCGCAAGGTGCCTATCATGTGCCACCCAGGCCAATGCTTATTAATTCCCCTACACCTCAGTTCCATAGTGTTTGGAGTAACCAAGAAACATATATGCAGTCTCCAACTGTGATGAGTCCTGTGACGCAATATGTTCAGGTAAGGTTTCGTAGAATGAAATAGTAAATTGCATTTAATTGTATTAGAGACAAAGTAAAGTCATGCAACTGGCTTAAGAGATTCCAGTGAATTATCCTGCTAAACTGGCATTCTGATATTTTAGATGCATGGAGTACAAACCTATTATTAATATTTAATACACTATTCCCATTCTGTATTCTTACTCTGGAATATTCTGGAGCTGCTGTCAAAGTCCTCTTGTTCCTGGAGACTCTCAGGGTCTGGACAGGATAAATAGGTTAAAGTTCAATTTGGGCAAGATGGAGGTAACGTTTATTCATCATGGTTCTCTGTCAGCTCCATTATTGTCTTCTGAAGGGGTGGTACTGTTTCTTGAGAAAGCATGTCTGAGATATGGGAGTGAAGTCCTCCTGGATTCATGGCTTTGTCTGGGACATGGGAGTGGTGTCCTCCTGGATTCATGGCTACTGCTGGATGGGCAGATGGAAGCTGTGGCCTGGAGGCTTTTGCCCAGTTTTGGCTGGTGTGCCAAGTGTGGCCCTTCCTGGAATGGATCTGGCTATGGTGACTTATACCTTTATCTCCATGTGGTTAGACTTCTGCAATCTACTCTGCATGGGGCTCCCTTTGAAGACCACTTGGAAACTACAGGGGGTGCGAAGTGCAGTGGTCCGCTTGCTGACTCTTGCTAATTTCTTAAAATATTAAACCCATCTTGTTGACCTTGGGTTGATTAACAGTAGATTTCCAGGTACAATTCAAAATGCTAGTTTTGACTTTTTTGCTTTATGTTTATTACATTTTATTGTATTTTATAACAAAATTACAAAAAATTAATCAAAAATACAAAAGATAAACAGTGAAATACTAAAGGTAGTTAATGAACTGAAAAAAGCTAAATAAAAAAATAAATAAAAGAACCCAAAGAAAATTCTTAAAAGCCAAGCATGTAAAAACATAGAAATCACTGGTTTACAAGAATTACTTTATAATGTTGTATCATTATCAAATATTTTTACTTAAACAGTTGTAAATGGCTTGACATCAAAGCATCAGATGCCTATTCAAACAGAATTGACTTGTCCAAAGATATCCTCCCAGGAGGTGGGGGGGGGACTGAGGCCAATGTTGCCTTTTTATCATGACATCTGCCCTCTGGAACAACCTTTCTGGAAGCTTACTGGCTCCATCAATGAAGGTCTTCTGGGAGCCAGTGAAGCTGAACTCATCTGGAGGGGTTTTGGAATATGATTATTCACCATCATTGTTTTTATTTTGTATTGTTATTTCTGATTTTGACTGAGTTTTGTATTTTCAGTACTGTGTAATGATTTAAGAAGTAATAATATTAATAATGCAAGGATTAATGCAAGGGCCATGGAGATCATCTAATCACCTGTTTAGTGCATGAATCCTCTACTGCAGCATCCCTGACAGATGATCATCTAGACTCTGTTTAGATGACCACCAGCAAGGGAGGATTCACTACCTCTTCAGATAGTCTATTCCATTGTTTCATAAAACCTTGTTTGTAATTTAAGACCACTGTTTCCTGCCCTGTCTTCTGAACACGGCTTTATGAAAAAAGCTGTCTTGTCTCCCCACAGTTGTCTTATTTCCAAGCTAAACATATCCAACACCTGCAACGGTTCCTCATAACTTTTTCCTTCTAGCCCCTTATCATGGTTAGTTTCCTATGAAACACTCCAGTTTGGCAGTGTCCTTCCTAAAATGCAATGCTCAGAACTGGATGCAACTTTCTGGGTGCAGTCTGACTAAAGCAGAATAGAGAGGTACAATGATTTCTCTTGCAGTTGACTTAATGACTTCTATTGATGCACCTTAGAATAATATTTGCTTTTGGGGGGGGTTGCATTATACTGTTGGCTCATGTTAAGCTTATAATTCACACACATCCTTACCTTTTTTTACATGTACTGCTATAGGATTATTCCTCACCCCCCTGTCCTAAACTTTTGCCTTTAATTTTCCTGTAGGACTTGCATTTTATCCTGCTGAAATACATTTTGCGGGTTTCTTCCCATTATTCCAGTTTGTAAAGATCCAACTGAATACTGATACTGTCTTCTAAGATGTTCACTATTATCTCTGTGTTATATGAAAACTCGATATATTTTTAATCCCTGATCCAAGACATTTATAAATATGTTGACCAACACAGGAGGCCTGTTGTATGTCACTCAACAGTTTCTTCCAGCTTGTCACAGAGCCATTCACTTTTACTTTTTGGGTATAGTTATTCAGCCAGTTTTATATGGATCTAATAGTTGCATAGTGAAGCTTACGTTTTTCCACCTTTTCTAGTAAAATCTCATAGAGTTTTGAATGCTTTGCTGAAGTCAAGGTACATTATATCCCCCACATTTCCATGGTCAGCTAAACTGGAATTCTGTTTTTAAAAAATCACATTGGCATGATTTATTCTTGATAAACCCAAGCTGAGTTCTGCAAAGCAATGAATTATTTTCTAAATGATCATAAACTGACTGTATAGTATCTTCTTTTGCTTGGTATCTGAAACTGACCAATTGGTTGTTATATGGATCTTCCTTTTTCCCCTTGTGAAGGTAACAACGTTTGCTTTTCTCCAGTGTTTTTGTGCTACACCCATCCTCTGTAATTTCTCTTAAGATCCTAGAAAGGGCCTCCAAAATGGCATTAACAGGTCCTTCAAGATTCCCAGATGTAATTGACCCAGTCCTGGAGACTTATATTCATTCATAATAGCCAGGTGCTTCTTAATCATCAATATAATTAACTTGAGTTCAACTCCCTCCTGTTGTCAGTAGTTCTGTTTAAGCCCAATTGAACACATTTCCACTTTGGGGAGAAGGCAAAAACAAAGTAGGTACTGCACTCTCCCCTCTCATTGTCACCTGTTGCTGTAAAATCATTTTCTCCTAAGTAGCAGCTCCTTCCCTCCCTCCTCTTCTTTCTTTTAATTCAGATACAGAAAAAAAAGGCCCCTTTTTGTGTTTTTAGCTTCTTTTGCAAGTCAAAATTCTTTTGTGCATTCTCTTGTTGCAGATACTAGCTTTTTCAGTCATATCC